AGGTGTTCTCTCCAAGCAAGGACTCAGACAAAGCTTTAATGTGAGGACTCTCTCCACACTGGCATTATTAAAATAAAATCTGCCCACATATTTCAACCAGACAATACTAACAGCTGAGCAGGCTCCTGATGAGCTCTTAGAGATAAAGACAAATGTCTTGCATCTTGACCCAACCACCATGAAAAACAAATAAGCTTCTCTCTTGTCTTCAGTACCTAACAAAACAAACTCCTACTCCCTACTCAGAAAATACATGATTTTTAACAACATACAAAGAAATACACAATGCAAACAAAAAAGATCAGTAAGTCAGCATCCCACCAGCCAAGCCAAGGCATTTTTGGAAGATAAGGGCACTGCTGCAGGTCTGGAGTTACCATATGGGCTGTCCCAGCCCTCCTGTGGAACTCCACACCAAGAGGGGATGAGCAACCTGCTCACTGGCACCAGCTCTAGGGTCAGCACCAACTTTAGGGCACCCACACCCACCCCAGAGTAACACAGACCTTGTTCTGAAAGACACATGCTGGGGATGGTTTGAAGATAAGCAGGCTGTGCACCCCAAGAGAAACAGGAACACCCAAAAGCCCTACCACAGGAGTTTCTAGGAGGTCCAGTGCTTTGCTATTGCAAGCCACATTTTCAACTTAATAAATTAGTTCACAAAAAAATGAGCTGGGTAATATATGCAGCATGCTCCAGTCACACTCATACTCACACATCATGCCCCAGTTCTCCTACAGCACCTAATATCTAAAACTATTTACACCTAGAACATAAAATTTACAGAACTCAATTGAAACACTCTGACTGTAACTTTTAGAGCTCTGCACTTAAAATAATAAACTTCTGAAATAAGTAGTAGATTACTTCATGCTGGCAAGCAAAAAAGTTCTATCCATCTTGTAGCCTTTGTGTATACAACAGGCTGCTCTCAAGGGGAAGCAAGATAGTGCTGGGTGCCACCAGGAAAGCTCCAACCACACACAAAGGATTGGCCACTGCTATCAATGACAGGCAAATTATTTCCATTTCATCTTGAAGAAATGTAACAGAAGGAAAACCTACCTCAAAACCATGACATCATCTCACTGTTTGGCCAGCAGGATGTGAGCTATTTCCAGAGAGGATATCAATGAACTCAGTAACGTTGTTGTGAGGTTTTTCTCTCCCTGAAGCCACACTGCAGTTTCCTCTTTTTTACTCACAGTATTTTCTGATTTTATTTTCCTTATAACAAACCCATTTAAAGCTGAAATCGTTCCAAATTTAAGCTGTCTCCATTTAGCTCAGAAATACCTGTGCTGAAGGAGAGGTGCTGTTGCTTTGCTCTGTAAGAATCCTCCCCTCTCCAGCAGCATGTAGAGTGTTAGTCAGCACTTTTATTCCTCTTCATTAATAACCTCAGCAGG